CCCCACCCCCCCTTAGTACTTATAAGCAGCTTCCTGCGGCTGCACTAGCCCCTCCCCCTGCAGTCCTCACACAGTCAAACTTTCCCCAGAGTCTGTGAGCTCCTCCTCTTTTGAGTCTTTAAATGGAGAACAGCATCCTGTGTGTTTCCGCCCCCCTCCTTGAGGTCAGAGGTCAAAGGTCAGTGACCTTGTTCTCCAGGGCGGCAGCGATCTGCTGGAGGCGGAGCGTGAGCTGTTTGTTCTGGGCTGCCGGGTCCTCGTCCAGCGACTGGATGATCTGAGGAGGACGACACGGTGACACGTTTGAAACTCACCAGAGAAGATTTCGTGTGTTTGTTAACGGATCATTCATTATCTAATGTGTTTCACTGTGATGAAATACACAAAGTCAGTGTCGGACACAAACTTTAACCGAACGTGTAAGAAGTGAAAGTTCCTCACCACGTCGTAGTACTTGCTGGCGTACTGGTACAGCTGATGTAAGGCCAACTGGGTGTTCAGTTTGTCTGTGTGTTGCTGCCGCGAGGAAACAAAGGTTCAGCGTTAAAACTAAAGTCCTCGGACACGAGTATTAACACACACACACACACACACACACACACACACACACACACACACACACACACGGTGGCTCGTACCCTGGACACCTCAGCGAGGTGTGTGTTCATGTCCTGGTCACTGACTGGAACCATCTGTCTGATGCCTTTATAGTAACTACAGGAGGAAACACACAAAGTCAACACAGCTCAGAGTTTCAAACGTTTTCACACGTCGTCGTCGTCGTCGAGAATCTTCTGACGCAGCCAGATGTTGACCAGCTGTTGTTCCAGAGTTCTATTAGATCAATTCATTAACTGCTTCTTTAATTGAACTCACTCATCCACCATCTTCTTGTACGTGGAAATCTCTTTAGCGTAGAGCAGCTTGTTGCTGGGAGATTCCTGTGGAGGGAGCACAGATAAGAGATGTTAGAGTGTGTGTGTGTGTGTGTGTGTGTGTGTGTGTGTGTGTGTGTGTGTGTGTGTGTGTGTGTGAGAACTGACTCTGCTGAGTTTGTGCTCCGTCTTGGTGCAGGCGTCGATGAACGTCTGGGAGATGACGTGCAGCGAAGCGTCCACCACCTCTGTCACGTGCACGTCGAAGATGTAGTGGGGGTTTCTCAGGATGGTCACCCAGTAACGCATCGGCAGGCTGAGGACGCACAGACACAGACAGAGACACAGACACACACACAGACACACACACAGACACACACACAGACACAGACAGAGTCAGGACATCAACTGACGGAATCAAGAGCTTTAACACGATGTTTGATCTTCACATCAAGTGACGGACGAGTTTCACGATGATGTCACTGCTTCCTGAGGGATCATCCATTTTATTAAGTACGTGAGAACATCTCAGTGTTTTTAAACAATATGGTCAGTTTGTGAATTTTAATGCTGACACTCCTCCCCCCTCCTCCTCCCTCCTCCTCCTCCTCCCTCCATCCTTTCATCTCCTCCTGCCATCTCTTTCCCTCCCTCCTCCTCCACCGACCATAACCCTCGTCAATAATTCACTGCAGTGATGAATATTTCATTGTCCGTCCTGTTTGTGTGTGAGTGTCTTCCTCCTGATTGACAGTTTGAAAATAGACACGTTGAATAAAAAAAGCTTTGTTGCTGAATCTGTCTCCATTTCCTCTTTTCTTCTTCCTCCTCCTCCTCTTCATCATTCATCCGTCCTGATAACAACCTGCCAATTATAGCTCACACTTGCATGTGGTCCTCTGCCTGGTTTAGCAATAACGAGGACATGATTAGCTTAGCTGATGAGGTGTCACACACACACACACACACACACACACACACACTATAATTACTTCTCTTAGTTTTCGTCTCCAGCTCTAATTCTGAACTTCTCATTTACAAACTGAAAAACCTGCCGAAACATTTCAGAGGGATTTTATTCTGCGAGTCTTTTTTCGACCTGTTGGTTTTCCAGATGTGCAGCGTCTCCTCGTCCACGTTGTCGTGTCTCAGCGCCTGCTCGTCCAAGAAGTCGAAGAAGTATTTGACGGCAGGAGGGACGACGGAGCTCGAGCACAACACACTGCGGAAGAAGTCGTCCACGAACTGCTGCAACGTGCCCTGTGACACACAAAGATCAGACATTTAGGAGGGCAGAGACCGACAACCTCAAGTATATGAGGTCTTTTAATAATGTGCCGGTGGAATGACTCGAGTAACATTGTACTGAAGTACTTAACACGAAGTACAGAGTGTGAGTAAAAGTACTGCGTTACCTTGACGGACAGCAGCCTCGTCAGGTAGATCTCAGTGATGGCTTTGGTCATGGACTTGTCCTTCATGCTGCCTCTCTTCGACTTCCCCTCGTCGAGCTCGTCCGCCGGCCTCACCAGGTGGAAGGTGTTGTCGTCCTCCAGCAGAGCGTTTCCTGTCCGACACACAGAAGAAGAAGAAGAGTGTTTGATGAGAATCATCAGTTTATGAGTTCATCTCAGTTTCGGAAAAGTTTTCCTCTGCCTCAGGATTGTGTGTGTGTGTGTGTGTGTGTGTGTGTGTGTGTGTGTGTGT